ATGCATAGTAATTGGCAAATATATGCTTATATAAAGCAGCCTTTTCAAATATAATATATACGTTTAAAACATTGCTTTAAATAAACCTTTGTAGTTATTCTACGAACGAGTGTAATAAAATTTAATATTATGTGTATTGATTTTTTTTTACTCCTTCACTTCATACATAATATAAGGTTTGGCTTCTTAAAGACACCGATTGTATAATGTACAAAGCATTGAGTATCTACATGCTACAGTCATATAATGTTCATCTCTTATTGGCTGGTAATTCACCCTGTACTTAAGGTTTTTAAATTAACACAACCTAGGTGTAACAAAGCTAACTAATGGGGTAATGATAACATTGTTTACACTAGAATTATGATGTTTTTAGCTTATGTACAGTATAGAAGAAACAGATCGACTTTTCAATACCCATACGACCTTCTCAGTACCTTATTTACTATTCTACAAAAGGTTTAGGTGCAATATACCAAGCCGTTTTTTGTTGTAGGCTGGCAGGAGAAGAATAATAAGAATCCTTGTAAATCTAACATGAGTGCTTTTTTGAACATTTTATGTGTGTACAGCCTTAGCAGTCAATAGTAAAGGTTTTAATTTGTTGTTTGAACTGAACCTTTACTGTTTAAGGTTGTTTTTTTTTGCCCGAACGTTGTATTAGGATTTTATGCAATGTCTTGCGATCCTTATTATGAACCACTACGTCCGTCATCTTGACCACTTTGTCTTCGTATAGATGAATACCCGTTTCATTTTCCAGGTGCTTAAGGCGTGCGACAGTTGAACAAACATACTGTGTTATCAGCTCACGTACAAGCGAATTATGTCACTTTTCTTTATTGATTATACTATATACTATTGCCCGAGGCACGTGGACGGCTTTTGTCATTGACCTTTTTATTCGTGGATTCTCACGTGTTACAAGTGCCGCACTTTCTTTTCCATGAGTGAGTTGTTATTTTTCTGGATGTTTCTGACGTCCTAAGTTGATCCATATTCCAATGCCATTAACGGTAAGAGGTAGCCCCATCTTGGAAATTCCAAATGTCTGATTTTAACACAGATTTATGGTCAAAATGTAAGAAAACTCTTTCCAAGAGTTTTGCGAAACCAATCTTGACCAACAAAGAGGCAGAAAATGGTATGTTATTCTGTCGAGAACGCTTTCACGCGCCTTTTTTGTAATGATGAATAATATACATCGTCGCTTAGCAACAAAACTATTATGGAATGTTATAGAGTGTTTTAACTGTTATGGGTTATTATACAATAGTTTTTACTTGTTGTAGGATGTTATAGAGTGTTTTAACTGTTATGGGTTATTATACAATAGTTTTACCTGTTGTAGGATGTTATAGAGTGTTTTAACTGTTATGAGTTATTGTACAATAGTTTTTACTTGTTGTAGGATGTTATAGAGTGTTTTAACTGTTATGGGTTATTGTACAATAGTTTTTACCTGTTGTAGAATGTTATAGAGTGTTTTAACTGTTATGGGTTATTATACAATAGTTTTTACCTGTTGTAGGATGTTATAGAGTGTTTTAACTGTTATGGGTTATTATACAATAGTTTTAACCTGTTGTAGGATGTTATAGAGTGTTTTAACTATTATGGGATGTTATAGGGTAGTTTTAACTATTGAGTTACTATCGTATAGCCCTTCAAAAATAACGGAGCAAGTACTACCACCCCCACCTTATAGTACCTACCATCTAACCTCACATTTGATAGCTAACTGAAATAAATAAATTTTGCGAAATCAAGCTCGACCAACAAAGAGGCAGAAAAGAGCAGTCAAGGCAGACAAACGTCGGTAAATTATTTTTTAATCAGGAAAGGTAGAGAAAAACAACATAGGAAAGAAGTGGTTCCTTATATAACAACAACTAATGTATAGACCCCCCAGTGGCACTGCGGTATGTCTGCAGACTTACAACGCTAGACACCGGGTTATGATACCCGTGGTGGGCAGAGCACAGATAGCCCATTGTGTAGCTTTGTGCTTAACTTCAAACAAACAAAAATCTAATATATAGAAAAGCCAGTGCGTTTTGGTAACAATGCGTTCCAACAATGGCTTTTATGCTATTTTGCTTAGCAACAAAAGTATATAGGTTATAATTTTATGATAAAATATGTTCAGAATATACACACTGACATAAATTTAGAGCATGTCAACCAAATAACACGAGTAAAGCTGGGTACTTTCGTTAGTCTATATTAATATACTTATCCATTTGCGTGCATGCGCATCTTTTTAATGAGGCAAGCTAGCGAAAAACCACATAGAAAAGAAGTGTGACCGCCATAGTTCCAAGGGGAAAGAACCTAGATACCTGAAATTTTCCACCCATATTGAGGGTATGCACCTGGATACTACTTAGCTTATCCACGTGCGTTCGCGCATGCGCGTGCGCATCTTTTTATGAGGCAAGCTAGCGAAAAACCACATAGAAAAGAATATATGACCGCCATAGCTCCAAGAGCAAATAACCTAGAAACCTGAAATTTTGCACCTATAATAAGTGAATTCTAAGAGTTTATACCTGGGTATTATTACTTATCTACGTGTGTGTGCGCATGCGCCTACGCATCTTTTTATGCGAAATGCCACATAGAAAAGAAATGTGACCGACATAGCTCCAAGAGGAAAGAACCTTGAAACATGAAATTTTGCACCCATGCTAAGTGAACCCTGAGAGTGTGCACCTGGGTATTATTACTTATCCACGTGCGTGCGCATCTTTTTAATGAGGCAAGCTAGGGAAAACCACATGAAAAAGAAGTGGTTACTTAGATAAAAACTTTTAATACACAGAAAAGCCAGTGCGTTTTGGTAACAATGTGTTCCAACAATGGCTTTTATGTCATGTTGCTTAGCAATTAAAGTATAACCTAATATTGTTGTTAGTCTATGTGTTGAAAGTATAAAATGAAATGGATAAACTACAAAATTGAAAGAAAATATATTTGTTTTTTTCTAATTTAGTGTCTGTTGTTTAAAGAGGTTTTTTATTATTATTATAAAAACGTTGGTGATATAACAGAAAATACCTCAAATCAGAAACGATTTATCTTTAAAATTGGATCGATATTCTTACTTATATGATAAATTTTATGCACTTTCTAAAATATATCAACCTAATAACCCGTGCGAAGCCGGGTACTTTCGCTAGTCAATAATATATTTTTAGAAATATGATTTTTGAAAATTGTAATAGATGGCGCCACAGACGAATAGCAGAAACATCGGTATTGAGTAAATTTATCCTAAGCATGTACTAACCAGTAAGATATTTATTCCGTGTACAGATATTGACTCGAGGTGTAAAGAACAAGTTGATTGGAGTTCTTGGTACGAATTCGACGAAAACGCTCATATAGTTTCTTCCTTTCATATTATTCTGTGTTGGAGATTGGGAAACTTCGCTTCTTCCATTTTTAAAGTTCGATATTTGTCTCCATTAAATCATCTCGAAATGTGTGATGCAAAGCTTCTAGAAGATGTAGAAACTCGAGTAACGTATGATGTTGACGAGAAGGTAAGCCATGAAAAACTTACTAAATGTTTTTATTAAATACTCCCCCAAAAAAACTTAAAACAGTATACTGAAGGTAGGAATCCAGTGAACACATACACGTTCTGTAATGAATCTTGTAATTTCCAGCAAATATATGTACAACAAACTTGCTACTTAAGCCCAAGCCTTAAAATTTAAACCAAGTATCACATTTCTGCGTCAGATATTATACAGGCTTCATGAAGTGCACTGAAATTAGGTAACGACTAACGACATTCTGATCAAACCCAGTTCTTTACAAGCTTCATGAAGAGCACTGAAATGAGGTAACGACGAACAACATTCTGATCAAACCCAGTTATTTGCATTAAAGATGTATGACTACTGTCGTGTTATGTTTTATTGTTTTGTCATTTTAAAGACTTTTTGGATTGTTAATTTCATATTCGCTCCATAAGTAAAATTAATGATTAACTAACTACTGTCAGTTTTTAAGTTTTTATTTATGTATTAGTAATTGTTTTGTGTTTGGCCTATCATTTGCGCACTGTCCACCGCAGAGAATCGAACCCCGAATTTTAGCACTGTAAGTCCATAATCTTACCGCTGACCCAAAAGGTGCTGTACTGGTAATAATAGCGGGGCCCCCAGTAGCACAGCGGTATGTCTGCGGTCTTACAACGCTATAATCCGGGTTTCGATACCCGTGGTGGGCAGAGCACAGATAGTCCATTGTGTAGCTTTGTGCTTAACTTAAATTAAACAAAACAAACAATAATAGCGGCTTTTAATTAGATTCTAAACATAAATTACACAATCAATACTCATTGAGTTTGAAACAAAACTGTATGCAAGTATAGTTATTTTGTTGTCGACAATTTCTGTCATTATCTGGTGGCATGTTGAGAACAATTTAAATTGAAATGCGTATTAAAATAACTCGGTGTGCAACACAATGTTAGCTATTTATGATGAAAAACAGACAAACATGGACTTAATTATTTAATATGTTTTCATGTTAAAACTCGAAACACCGAGAAGGAAAAAAATTGTGCCGAATTTAGCTGAAAAGCTGAACAATCTTAATTAAACTCTCGGCTCTTTGAGAATACGACTATTCTTATTCATGTTTACAGTAAAATAAACTTAGATAAAAAACACACACGTACAAACTTTATTTGCATATAAAAACAATGCAGAAACATTTAAAAGTCTCTTGAAATTAACTTTACATCACCAGGTAGTTTGAACTTCAGCGATGTCGCAGGTTAATTAAAACAGTTATGTTAAATATGGTCAAGACTGTATAATATAAAAGGTCGAGGATTTCAACCTGACCATTTAAAAGAGAGGATGGAAGAAAGGATGTTGAAAACAATATAACTGTACATCGGTGCACTTATGTTTGGTTCCTTTTTTTGTAATTACTAGAAGTTTTAATGTT